TCACGTCATTTGGGATTAAATACCAACTCAACATTTTTGGTGCATATTTTTACTATTTTGGGTTTAGAGGCCATAATATATTTTATTTTAAGCCTATATCTATTTAAAATAAAAAGTCATCAATTTGTGGTTTCATTGTTTTTATGTTTTTCATTGAGTTAGTTGTTGACAAATACTTGAATAGTTGTAATGTGATAGCAGTTATAATAAGGGTTGACAGGGTTGTAAATGTATTTGAGCAAAGGGATAAAATTTTTTTTGAATTAGGGTTAAGCTTATATTATTGACACCTAAGATCTAACAGCGTCATGAATATCCATGAATATTTTTAGCAGTACTCCACTGATTCGTCTATATACCTAAAAAAAACGATTCTGAGCGAAGACCTATATTACTAAGTACATTTTATGATATTATTGCTATTTAAGTAATTTTTTTTACTATTAATGATAGTAATAAAGTAAGTTGAATTATTTTTTTCTGAAAAAATTGCATTTAAAATGTCAGTGTGTGTAATGTGTATACTGTATAAAGTATAAATGTATAATAATATACCTAGGTGGCTAGGTATATGAGTACTCTAAAATTTTCAAGTATCCACAACCAATATTTTCAAAATTAAAATTACTACAAAATAACTGAAATCACTATTGTTCGTTTAAATATCTATTTCTTATATTTCATGTACAATGTACCTACCTAAAGAATTTGGTGAACATTTTTACGGTTATAAACTAACAACAATTAACTAATGAAATCGTTCGAAGAGAAATCGTTAATTTACGGGTGAGTATATCCAACAGAGGCGTTCTCAGGATATTTCAATGGAGGGGGATGAAAAAAATGGTTTCAAAATAAGCCGTAAGGGTTTTGCCTCACAACTTCCATATTATAAAAATGAATATTAAAAAAGCGGGTAAGTGGATGTCGCTCTGCTGTACAGTAGATTACAATAGTTGGTCACTGTATAATGGATTGTATTAAATTTGAATTCAATGATATCATATCATTGTATACGAAAAACGATTCTGAGCGGAGACGGTTTGTCAGTCTGGATATTTTATATTGTTATTATATTTTATTATAGCCTGTAAGTTGAATTAATATTATAAATTACGACAAAATAACTAAAATCATTATTTTTATTTTATTTGTTTCTATGGTGATAAACAAAGTGTTAGAAATTGAAATCACATTTTTAGCGGTTTTTGAAATTTGTCGGTGAAATTGTAATGTGTCATTAAATAAATATTGAGAAAATTGAAATATTACCTCTCTAAAGTACCATCTTGATAAAATTTGCTAAAAGAAAAGATATACTATATGTTAAAAGCGAAGAACTCCTTCTGGTAGAAATTTTGTATGCAGGATAAAATAAAAATAAATATAAACAATATTGAAAAACCAATAGATCTCTCACTCCGCTCAGAATCTAATAATATTGATAGTAATATAGTTGATAATATCAAATAATCAATTCAAGTCATATATTTTATTGTTCTTTTTATTTAAACTATAAAAGAATGTTATGAATCAGTTTAAATCAGAGATGGAAAATGTTTTTAATTTTTTCGTTTTTGTTTATTGATTTAAAAAATACCGTTTTTGATTAACGTTTTTAAAAACGTTATTTTTCTATATTGTTTTTGATAATATTGTTTTTTTTATAGTAGTAAATTTAGCAATTTAGAAATGCAATTAAGAGTTAAAAATTAAAATTAATTATTCTTAATATTTAAATTTTAAATCAAAATTATAATTTATATAAAATTTCTGATTTCAAATATAAATGTTTTTAAATTTTAATAGAGCATTGTTGGTAAAGATCAAAAAAAAGTAAATACTTAAGTAACATTTTTTTTCTTCGTGCTATAAATATAATAATGTATAATACTATAATTTATTTGATTTCGTAATTAATTTTTTATCTGTTTTTGGGATTTTTTGTTATCGTTTTTTGTTTTTGTTTTATTAATTGTTTTCGGGTTTTTTTCAGATTACTAACGTTTTTTAAAAACGTTTTCCATCTCTGGTTTAAATTATTTATTTTATTTTATCACTGTGGTGTTATCATTGTGTATCTTACCTTTACATTTTTTCTGACGCTGGGAATGGGTAAAGTTGACGGAGTGATTGTTTACAAAAATACAGTACAAATCAATTGTAAAGCGAATTGCCTGTTATATGTTATAATTATCAGTGATAAATAATAATATTGTTTATGGCTGGTGGAATCAATAATCACGATAAAGAAAAATAGCAAAAAAAAAAAATAAAATAATAACTACCAAGTCAATATTGAAAACACAAACACACATCAAAAGTAGACAAAACGTGTATTATTAATATGTAAAAAAATAAAGAACCTTGGGGGGGATCTATCCCCCATATCCCTCCCCGTGAGAACGCCCATGATATCCAATGTCATAAATATTTGAACTTCAATGTTTTGTATAGAAAAACTTATGAGGAATCTTGTATTCAATTTGAGAAAAACCCATCGTTTTTCTTTAATTTTTTTTTTTAGAATCAGAGCGATAAATATATTGATTATACAATAGGCGTATATACTGGGTGTTTTGTTTATTTTTATTATTTATATTTGTGTCCTTTGTAACCTTTTGGGTCAGTAAAAATTCTTCGATTTTCTTCTACTGCATTTTTGCTGATGGGATAGTGAATCTAGTTGGTACACTTTGAAGAAGAAGGGCCGGGAAAGGGCTTAAAATTAAAAATCTCACAATAGTTTTCAAAAGCGTCAGAAAAAACAGACAACAATTTAGTGTAACTCTATTAATCTAAATAAATAAACTTAGATGCTAGACATTTTCATAGAATGTTTATTTTAGCAATTTCTATATACATATTCGAAATATTGCGATTATTTTTGAGACATAAGAAAATATCGAGTTTAATAAGTTTTTTTTAAATTATTGTTGGTAAAAAAAATGTTTGCTTTGTCGAAAAATTTTTTTTCCCATATTTATTTGAATTTGTACAATCTGTATAAAATATTTTTACAATACGGTTAGTAATGGTTAGTCGATTGCAGTACGTCACGGCACCAGCTACGCTTTAAATGTCAGACAGGGTCACTTTTGGGATTGTTCTGGAAGAGATGTTATGGATGAGGGGGTTTCTGTGATTTGCTATTTTAGAATGGAAGCATTATTATAGTCCCTATAAAGTTATAACTTATAGCAACGTTTTTGATTGTCGAAATGACGGAATGAGGAGGTCCCAGTGGAGAGTATCATTTGATATATAGGTAAAAGGGAGCTTTACAACGGTCCTCATCACTCATAAGTGGTTGTTAGTGAAAATTAAAAAAAAAGTAAATACACAAAAAGTTGTAATAAATAGGTTATATAATATAAATTAATTTATTCACAATAATATCATCAATATATATACTTAGTAATATTATAATATTAGAAGACTGTCAGACCGTCTTCGTTCAGAATCGTTTTTTGTATACAATGATTTTATATCAATGAATTCAAATTTAACACCATCCATTACAGGGACCCACTTGTAACCTACCTACTGCAGGCTACTGTACAACATAGCGGGACACTCTGCATTTACCCGCTTTTTTATTTTTGGTTTTTTTCTGGCGCTTATTACACCATGAATTTTTGACCAAAGTACAGAATAGATTCACTTAGGTACCTTCCAGAAAAGATGCTAATGTAGAAAATCGAAGCATTTTTATACTGCCCCCGAAATAGATGGTAACAGACACATAAAAAAAACACACCATTGTAAAATCAATATATTCACCGTTCCGCTCAGAATCTAAAAAAAGTTTGTGTTTACAATAATTGTTAGCTATATATACTATAATATATTGTATAACTGTGTAAATGGGTAATAATTGCGGGTACCTGTAAATAATGTAATAGTATTAAGTAGTTAATACCTATAACCTACCTACTCATAAAGTTGTATTGTATTGTTTTCATTTCACACTAATTAATTAGGTAGGTATGTATTTAGCGAGAAGTTAAAAAAAAAAATCTTGGATATTATATAGTTTCTGGGTTTCTTCCTCAACACGATACTCGTATTACTTTATTCTGTTTTTATTTTTATCTAATTTGCTTATTGTAATTATTGTGTATAGATTGTAGTCTTTCAATAAAAAAAAAAAAAATAAAAGATATTATATAGTTAAATATATTTTTTTTAAACTAAACTTTTTCTTTGAGTTTTGAATATTAAATACATTTTTTCACTTTTATCATTAATACGTTTATATAGGTTTTGATTATATTTGTCGAGCCTTGAAATTCACATAAGTACCAAAAAATATTATTATACACACACTTCCCAGTTTTTTTTTTCACTGATTCAAACCTTTAAATGTATAGGACAATATTAAAATATATTGCAACCAACTTTTTTCACATTTATGTATAGCCGCTTTTAGTAAATATTCGTTAGATGCCTACATACTTTGATTTTCTTTATTGCAGAGATTCTAACATTAAATTGTTGTATCTCAACATTTAACATGCGTATAAACATATTAGATGGTTAGAAACTTAGATGCAAATGGTGTGTTAAATCTTAATTAATTTACTTCAAAAAATATGTTCCATAAAGAATTCCAATATGGCTTTTTCTTTAGTCGAAAAGAAGGTTAAGAGCCAAATAAATTACATACTACTAAAAACAATGCAACTGTATTTTATGATAAAAATATAAAAGTAACATAGGTACTGCAGTGGTGTCATTTCAGTTTTTATTAGACTAGGGCAACTTTTCACTGCTTTTCCGACTTAACATTTTTTTCACTCAGATTCTCATAGCATAGTGCCATACATATAGTGGTTAAGGGAGGGGTGGTGTTAGTAAATGTGCCGACTTAAAGTTGATGTAAATACTAGACTGGGGAAAATGCCCCTGCCCCACCCAAATGACGCCACTGAGGTACTTTGATATTCTATAAAAATGTTGTGCTTTAGTATGTTTAGGTTTATTTAAGTTTTTTAATCATGCCAAAAAATCAACAAACCCAACAAATATTGAACGATACAAGAGATGATTCGTCTTCATCTCGGGTCGTTATGCTGTTTGGATCAGACGAGGAATGTGACTTAACATCAGATGACTTAACATCCGGCGATGAAGATACGTTGTCTGTAAATCAATTGACTGGTATCCGACGGTTCCCAGTACCAGATTCCCGAAAACCGTGTACTGTAACCAATTCTCGAGAACGCTGGCGCCAACACAACGTTACCGGTGCCTTTGCAGAACTTCGGAAATTGGTACCCACTCACCCACACGATAAGAAATTATCGAAGAATGAAATTTTAAGAATGGCTATCAAGTATGTGGTATATTTACATAATATAAATAACAATATGTACCTTTACATCTTTTAAGTTTTATTATACCTATGTATATTAATAAATATATTATCTATACTAATATTATAAAGAGGAAAGATTTGATTGTTTGTATTGAATAGGCTCCGAAACTACTGGACAGATTTTAAAAATTGTTTTACTATTAGAAGCCGACATTATCATTGATGAATATAGGCTAATTTAAAAAGTGAATTGATCACCCAGGGGAGGTGCTCAAACTGGAATTTTGAGATTTACGATAGAAATTTGTGTTTAAAAATAGTTGCCATGGGTTTCAAAGCTATTATAATAATAAATAATAATTATTGGTTGTTGTTTATTGAAAATGGTGGCTATTGCCTATTGATCATAGGAGAAATAGTTAGTATAATATGTCCTTAATGCCTACGACTGTGATGTACGACCGTTATCGGCATCATGGCGGCATGTGTATAAACAATACATTACATTACTGTTTAGTTTTTTTTCTCATTTTAAAATGTCTAGGGCATTAAAAGTTACGTTTTACGACAAATGTATTATTTAATGTATCATTGTTCGGGGTGGCTGAATTGCACTTACTGTTGCGAGTTACATCCAAAAAGATTTAAACAATCACAAATTTTTAAGGGCAACGAAGTGCACGGGATCAGCTAGTATAATATATACCTATGTATATATGCATTAGGTATGAATTATATAGCATTATATTGTGATATTTTAATTAAGTGGAAAGTCAGTAGCTCTAATTCAAAATTTAACGCGGATATTCTAGTGAATTTGTTTTTAATTTAATATACCTATGCGACTACTAGCCTCCCTTTAACCTTGGTTTAAAAAATTTCCTTTTAAAGATTCGAAAATAGCCATTTTGTAGTTATAATTTATATTTTAAAATATAGAGAAAAAAACTGGTTGGATTTTGAATGAATGAAAGCATTAAGCAACTTTTATGTTTTCAAAAATAAAGCAGAATATTGCAGTAAAATTATTTATAGTTTTCAGTTGTCCACTTGTCCACATTATTCACTAATAAGTAATACTAATTTATTCAATAAGCATAATAAAGAGCATAGGCGCAACTAGAGGCCAAACACTGGGGGTGCTAAAATTATGTAGAGAACACAAACCCGCAGGGGCTACGCCCCCACACCCCAAAGTAACATACTTTGATTTTATAATTACTATAACCATTCCTAAATGCACCATGAACATTGAACACATAAGGACACTAATATTTAAGTAAATCTGCAACAGTAATATACCTGATGAATACATGAGGTATTTTATAATATTTAGGTGATAAAAATAGTAACCTGGAAGTATAAATAGATAAAAAAAAAAAATTGGTCAAGTGGGTACCGCTTTGCTGTACAATAGTTGTTGAGAATGTCGTTGTAGTGGATGTGTTATATTTGAATTAAATTTGAAAAATGTTCTCATAAATAGCTATAAATAGTTCATAAAAAGTCAAGTGTTTAAAGAATTTACGATGTATGGAAAATGCTATTATAAATGTTTGGTGAACATTTCAAGAATCTACGGTTATTCATTTTGGAGATACAACAAAATCCAAAAAATCGATTAATGGGAATTCGATTTACCGCTGAATATCGAATATCGTGACAATTATAAGTTCGAACACTCATAAAAAATTCAAGTTTAAGTATACGTTTTTTTTATAGGTAGACAAACTTATGTGAAAATATATAACATTTTTAATATTAGGCCTTAACTGTGAAAGGAAAATATTTTATGAATTGCTAACTGAAAAATAATTAAAAATATTTGAAAAATTTCTCAGTTATAAATACCTCAAAAAGAGTCAAAATTGTTTAAACATTTTACCATGTAAGGAAAATTTTAATTTTAACATTTGATAACAATTTCAAGTATCTAAGATTATTCGTTTTTAAATTACAACAAAATATCAAAAATTTATAGATGAAATTTCGTTAATTTACTGATAAAAATTGAAAATTGAATGTTGTACACATTTTAGATTCAAACGCTCATAAAAAATGTATGTTACTTTCCAGTAAACTTTTTTTTTGTTTAAGATAGTACCAATTGTGAGGAGTCTTCTATCAACATTTATAATGTTAGCTATGAAAGGAAAAAAAACTTTTATAAATTTCTAACTGAAAATTTCCAAAAAAAATTGAAGTATTCTAAATTCTAATATTTGATATACCTATAATCATTACAAACAATAATTTGTGTTTGTGCTAAAAACGAAGAAATAAAAAAAAAACCTTAAGTAAAGCTAAAAAAACTATTTTTTTTAGATGATTTTTCAATTTTTGCTGTTTTTGAACTGGGGGTGCTAAATTAAAGTTTGGGGGTGCTGAAGCACCCCCAAGCACCCCCCTAGTTGCGCCTATGATAAAGAGCACACTACACACTCGTTGAAATTTATTATATGTAATATTTGTTTTATAATATTTTTCAATACATCCAAGAACTGCTATAGGTAAGTATGAATTATGCATAAGTCAATTTTATAGGTTCGTTATCTTTCTAACGAAATTAATGTGTCACTGGGAATATCTAGCACATTTTTTAATTATAGCTCTAATTTTACGTACAATTATACATACTTTAGTACCTTTTGGATTTTAATTATCATTCTCTAGTTATTAAAGTGTAAACAATTGAAAACCATACAATATTTCAATGCATTGGGGCATTATATATTTATATTATACAATAATCTTGATGTTTTCATTAGCTCAAAATTGTTATTATCCAATTTTCAAAATAACTCTAACAAAATGGCTATTTTCAAATTTAAAAATAGAAAAGATTTTGTGCGTTTATTCAAATTATATTATTTAGACCATGGTAAAATGGAGGTAGCAATAGTCATATATTACATTAAAAATGTAAAACAAAAAAAAACTTCACTTGAATATTTGCATTATATTTTGAACTAGGGATACTGCCGACTTTCCAATTAATTATTATAGGTACCTACTTATACCTACCTATAAGGCTATATTATATAGTATATATTATAATATATACTGTTCCTACTTCCTATATAAAATATATAAACTTTTGTAATTACATATCCATTATATTAAATATATTATACCTAGTTTATAATAAAGTATTGAAGAGCAAAGATTTTTGAATGCAATTTATATTAGACAACAAGTAATTAATAATTTGTATTTCATAAATAGCCAATGGGTTACCTATATTATTGATGTATTACAGAGTATAGATGTGTATTTCTTTTAATTTAATTAAATTTAATATAATATAGGTACAAGTGTACAACCTAGTTTCATAATGTGTTTATAGGAACGCGTTAGGTATTGGTAAACTAAATCAGTCTTTAATACTGCTTAGGTACCTACTGTTTTTGCATGATAAGATTCCGATAAATGTAAAAATGTACCTACAATATTCACTAGTATAAAAGTGGCAATATCAAATAAGTATTGAAACATTATGTATATACGGGACAGTGAAAATATAAATGTTTTAGACGTTTTAGTCTTACACAAAATACAAATAGTATCCTTTAAAACATGAAAAGTATATAAATGTATTTACAAACATTTAAAACTACCAAAATATTTTTAAGTATTTATTTTATACTATAATGACCCCTCCCCTTACTGAATTTCTACCTACCGTCTACAGCACTGAATAATATAATGGCTATCACATTTATATTATATATATTTTTATGACGTATATATATATTTGTTACAACGCAGTTTAAATAAGTGTATAAATGTTACTTAATCTTTTAATATTTATTTATTAATAACACTGTACATGGTTATTATACAGGTACATTCGTCTTTTAAGTGGAGTCCTCGAATGGCAAGAGAATCAACAAGATTTCAGCAATAATAATGAAGACTGTATGGACAATAATGTGTATTTATAATTATAATTTGGATGGCAGAAGAAAATATTACATTATTATATCACGATGATATAAATCGTAATAATATAATACGTCATGATATAGATACAATTTAAATATGCCCCGATCAATAAACACACAAAAATAAAAGACCATGCTACTATTTGAGGACGTACTATTTATAATTTATCAATGTTTAATAATTGCAATATTTAAGACATATAGGTCGTAGCCCGTAGGTATTCTTAAATAAATTACAATTTATAACCATTATAACATAATACACATGTCACCTTGACTTGAAGTTAGACCTAATCTCCATTTTAAAGTTCCAACTTAAATAGGGATCACAAATGTTTAGAGTATGCATAGCTAGAACCCGGTTTTAAAGTTTACTGAGTGGTATATGGTATATCCAATCCGACAGGCAGCTATTTAATCTCGGTTGAATTAATTCATAAAGCGAGGTACACAGAATCGATTTGCCCATAAACTGAAACCGAGAATAGAGATACATCAATATAGCGCTGTAATAATATTTGTTGATTTTTTCATAAGTGAAGTTGGGTTATACATCTAAATGCTAATACATACATATATATTCTTTTAATATAGTTTAAAAATTTAATTAGAGTCAAATAAATAAATAGATATATGGTGTTACAGACACCTTAATAATAAGAGTATTATATTATTTTAAAAATTACTCATTGACTACCGATGCCATTAGCGTTGACGTGAGTAAATAAGTGCCTATATAATATAATATATGATTTATATTAAAGCAATGTTTGTTTGTTTTATTATTATTAAGTTTTAAAAAATATTATTTTTAATGCTACTACAAAATAATAATTAACTTACAAAATATATAATCCTCCAATAGAGTTTTTATGTAAAAAATAAACATACTGTTAAAAGTTACCTGTATGTATTAGAAACTGTAAAGAAATATTAAGAATCAATTCAAAATTTAACATCAAAGTAACGTATTCTAGTTAAAATTTAGTAAATTATTTAGATAATTAAAGTATTTTATTTATACTAATATTGTATACATTACAAAAAAACTCAATAAGTACTAACTAATAAATTTAAATACAAATAATAATTACAAAAACAATAAAATTATTATCAGTTATTATTAAAAAAAAAATCGTACAAATATAACATTATCTTACTCAATTAATACAAGTGAATTAATATCTGCGAATATATTCACTATAACGAGGAGGTGTATTCCAAACTGCACTTGATGTACGTTGTTTATCACGGATATTCCAGCCTTTGAACATTTCTTTAAGACTCATACTTTTAGGACAGTCAAAAAATAAGTCCCTTTCCTTAGAATCTATATGATATTGAAGTTCAAGTACAGCTTTTCTATTTTCTCCTAAAGATAAATTTTTAATTAATAATAATTAGTTTATTCTGATAAATTAGTAAGTAATAATTTTTATTTAGTACATGACAGATGTACATACGTTTTGCCCAATTTGGAACAGGTTTTTTTGGTCCAGATTCATCTTCAGAAGAATCACGTGCAGATACATCATTTAACCCATAATCATTTTTGTTGTCAATCTTTAATAAAAAAATATAATAAATTACTTCAAAACTTAAAAATTGAAATTCAGAAATAAATATATTAATTAAAATAACTCATCAATACCCAGCGATATAGCTCCCCCCCCGTATACTACATAATTATTATATTCATATTTATAATTACATACACTATATACTATATGTAATTTTTTTATTATAATGAAATAATAAAATACCTAAATATAGTAATTAGTATAATAAATTAGGTGCAGATGTTCAATTTATTATACCTACCAACCTAAGTGTTAAATTTTTAACAATTTTTATTGTCTATTTTCCTATTTTATTTTTTTTATTTCTATTTAATATTATGATGGTTTACAAAAGTTTTAATAATATTATAGGTATACATAACATAAATATTTTATATGATAATATTATATTATACTATATTAAACTTATTTAAAGAACGAAAATACATTATGTTGAAAACAGTGTTACACAATTATTGAATAATAATTCTGACAGTTCACAGAACAATTAGACATTTAGAATATTTAGAGCATAATCGTAAATCATGTTTAGTGTTTGCTGGTAAGGGTCTTTTTTTTACCATATTTTTATTTGGGGGCTTTTTTTTCTAGATGGTCACTTTACTCATATATATTAAAAGTTTAGTTACAGTGGTATACTGTCGTATAATATACTAAAATACTATAAATACCTATAATAAAACCAACTGTTTTTATTATGGAAACTGTCAAATCAATAAGGTTTGTTCAACATTTTTATTTATTAATTAAAAACTATTCATCAAATTGGTTTATAGAATAAATGCAATCCCATACATGTATACCCGCTTATCATGTGTTATTCTAGTAAACGCACTTATAGAAAAACAAAGAAGTGGGTGTACTCCCCACTACACCACAGACAATATCATGTGTATATCAACTAAACAAAAAAATTGTTTTTTTTTTTAAGTTTAAATAACAAAATACTCAAAATTTTTTTAATGCAATAATGCAAAGACATTATACCTTATATAGTTAACTTATTGATAAAATAAATAAATAAATATTATGAGTTATACATAACGATGTATAGAAATGGAACATTTTTTTATTATTATAATTTTGAAGAACTAAAGAAGAATAATGTATAAATTTGGTTTATTCAAGTTTAGAAAAGAAACAAGCTTACTTTTGATTTTGGTAATGTTGCTGGTTTTGATGCTGATGAAGTAGGTATATTTGAAGTTAAAGCTTTAGGACGAATTACAGATTTACTTTTTTCTGGTCTGTTAATAATTTAATAAAATAACAATTGTATAATCATTAAGTATTTAAAGATAAACCAAATGGCAAATACAATTATTATCAATTTGGAAAAAAATATAAATGTTATTACATATTTACATAAATAAAGTTTTCTTACTTTGTTTCAACTTTCTTTTTTAATTCATTTTCTTTCATAATGCGATTCATTTCAAGTTTTTGCTACAATAATCATATTAAGTTTAAATATATTTTTAATAAAATTACAAATATAAAGTAATTTATGTGCGTATAATATATTACTATTTTTAAATGCTTTGCTTCTTCGGCTAGTTTACGTTTAGCATTAATCTCAGCTAATCGAAGTTCTGCTAGCTTTTGTTTTTTTAATGCTTCCTCTTTAATCATTGTTTCTTTTTCTTTTTGTTTTTCTTCTTTTTTCCTTTTCTCTTCAGCAGTTTTTTTAATTTTTTCTTCAGCACGTTTCATTTGTTCTTCTCTGTGCTTAGCAGCTCTTAAATGTTGATCTTCAAATTTCCTATGGATAATTAAACAAAGATAATAAGTAGTTGAATATGCATTAGAGTTTAATAATAAAGTATAAATAATAAGCTTCAAAGCTAAATGCAGATAATCTTCTACAAACAAATTAAGGAAATTGTATCATTAACATAGAAATATAATTAAAAGCAAAATTACAAATTACAAGAAATTGTAGATGAAATGATACAAGTACAACAACTCTGTTATAGTGGAATGTTTCAAGTTACAACGATTATGGGATTATATTACAATCGTTAAACTAAAGTTAAACCCCCAAATTCGGCCAGTAAAATCAGTGGGTTAGGCGTAACCGAGGTTTAACCTATGATTGTAAAACAGACCCTTAAAGGACTTACTAAAGTCTTACTGAAATGCAAGTGTTCCATTAGGTAAAATACGCAACTTTTAATACCTTATTAATACCTCACTATTAAAATATAGTTGAACAAATTTTTAAAAAATAATTAATGCATATTAAAGCATATAATGATGTTTTTGATTATTTTTGCATATTTTAGCATATTTTTGAGAGAATATAATGAGAATATTTGAAGGTTTTTTAGGGAATATTAGCATCATATTTTAGGTATTTTAAGAGAATATAAATCCGGTCTTTAATGATAACACATTTAAATAGATTATTCAAGAGGTAAAATTTGCTAAGTTAAAGTTATGAGTGTAAAACACGAGATAGTGCATGCAAGTGAGCGTCCTCTTAAATATTAGAGTGAATTAATTGACCTATTATCAAACTTAGATATAAGAACATAATCTGTATTCTTTCGTTAGATTTTACAATGTTTTAATTTTTAAGTAATTTATGAGCATTTTAAAATTGAAAATTGTTTATACATCTTAAAATACTCATAGCTTGCTTTAAAACTAAAATATTATAAAAAGCTTGTAACATTGCCTAGATAATAATCTTACCTTTAAATTGTATAAGAGGTCAATTTACTCTAATTTTTAAACTAATGGAGTTATACGCGATCTACTGAGCATACAATTTGGTATGTTACGCACTTGTAAGATGGCAAATGTTGGTATAACACCCTCTTAAGTTTGATAATAAGTCAATTTATTCTAAACTAACACAAAATTGGAGCTGTGGAGTCACATTTGGATATATTATGCTTAGTAACACTGAGACAATACATGCGGGTATGACGTCCCATATTATTTCCATTAATTAAAACATATGATAAATTTTGTATTAATTTTTTTAACCTTAAGTATTAAAAACAACAATTTAATAAATCTTAAAAATAATTGTATAAATTAAATTTTTCTATGTTCAAATGTTCCAAGGTATTAATTATATATAAATATATTCCTTATATATATACATTATACACAAATATATTCTTACAAGTTTGATAAATATTTTATAAAGAAATTAAACACTTTTAAAACAAAATTGTGATTAGGTACTAATGATGGATATTTTATAATTGAAGTATGAACAACTTAAAAGGTATGTTGTATTATTTAAGATTTTTTACTCAAAAACCATAATTTTATCATACATCAATAAACAATTATTGAAAATTATATCTTGTAAAGTAAATGCTTATCTAAATGTTTGGTGAAAATTTCAAGATTCTAGTTATTCATTTTGAATAAATAAAAAAAAAACAATTTTGTCAAAACCAATTTCTCCATAAAAATTCTTGTTTATATCTGATTTGTTTCATAAGTATTAGAAATATTATATTTTGGACATTCCTAAACACCAAATGAATACAGTTGGCTAACATAAATCACTGTTAAAGATTGAATTATTTTTACCACTTCAAAAGGGGACAGACGTGAAAAAAAAACAGTTGAAAAATCACTACCTTCATCAAAATCTCAAAATAAATGTCATATTTGAAGAATTTCTTGCTTATGAATCAAACGAATATTCGAGAAATCAATAGAAGTATTTGTATAATATAATCAATAATTCATTATGCTATCTATCAGAAATGCATGAGATAAAAAAAATATATTGAAAAACAGAATTTAAAACACAAATTGGTACTTCCGGGTTATCTCGACTACCCAAATATTCCCAAGACTACCTGTTGGAATCATCCGGGTTATCTCGACTACCTCCGTAGACCGTAATTTATTAATAAATATATATTCCCGCGAATTATTAAAATCATCCGTCTTCAATCACTATACTGTCAATCATACATACAATTTTGTTGACCCAAACAATTGAACGCCTTTGGGGATCGGCAAAGTGGCGAAACAAAAAACATAGGGGAACAGCTCGCCATCATCTAGATTCATACCTGACTGAATTTGTTTGGCGACAAAACCTTGGTAACGATCCACCATTAAATAAGATTTTAATGGATATTAAAACCTGCTTTCCTCCTCAAAAAAATTATTTACCACATTTTTTATTTATTTTTTATATTATATTATATTATTACAATTTTTCTACACACATTTTTATGCCATTTTATCGTGTTTCAAAATAGATTTATATTATTATTCAGAATAGACTTAACCTATATATTTTATATATTTTTATTATTTAAAAAATTGCGGTAGTCGAAATAACATGGTTGATCATTTAATAGGTAGTCTTGGAAATATTTTGGAAGTCGAGATAACACGGTTGTGAACCTAAAGTAGTCGAGATAACATGGAAGTACTCACAAATTAAATATGAGCATGAGAACATCTGTATGTTGAAAGATGTTCTCCACGGTATCAATGACAAATAAATATTTTTAAGCAATTTACTATTCAAACTAATATTTAATACTACTGAAATACCTTTGATCTGCTTTGGATTTGAGATGTAATTCTTTCCTTTTTTCAGCTTCGTTTTCTCTGATTTGATGAGGAGTTTGTGATTGGAGATCTTCTAATGATTTTCCTGGCGTTGATATTTGTTTTTCTAATGGTACATATAATACATTAGTTTTTTTAGCATCAATATTATTTTCTTCTTGAAGTTTTCTTTTCATTGTTCTGGTCATATGCGATTTTTCCTCTATATTTACATCGATATCTTCTAATTTTTCACGCCGTTTATTCTTTATTTGAGATTCAAGACTACAAATTATATAAATACATGAAATCAATAATAATAATAATTAATATTATCTTAAATATTGCATACCTTTTATTCTTAGAGGTTAATTTGATAATTGTTTCAGGTGGTATAGAATTAGCATTTTCAGCACTAATTGGAGATTTTTCTGGTAAATCAATAATTATCCCCATTTTTTTTGTTTGATTTCTTGTTGACAACCTTTTAGTCAAATCATAAGTTTTGTTGGCATTAGTTTCCTTTACATGGGTCCCAATATCTGGAGAAAACATTCCAGGAGATACAGGTTCTTCAACATTTTTCATAATTTTTTTATCGACTACGAAAGTTGAATTTGCTGTTGGACAAGCAATAGGTGCTATATCCATAAATGTAGATAAAGCTCTTGCTCGACTGGCTCCTAAAATACAATCAAGGTTAGGTTTGTTTTTTAAACTAAAATTATCTCAATCTTATTTAAAAGTAATTATTATTATAAATATACATATTAGATATGGTTATAGAAATTAGAAATATATTACAATTAAAAACCAAACATGTAAATAAAATTAACTAAAAGCTTAATAATTGAATTACCTAGAGTTAGTAGAATTAAATTTATTACAGGAAGAATATTTATATTTTTAGCACAGTATAAATCATAAATCAGTTATTACTTGTAGATGGTCCAGAGCTGCTGATTGTTGAGGATTCTCTAATGCTTTTTACTTTATCTGATGCAATCTATAAATGTTTAAATATATATTGTTAATTTATTAAATTAAATATTGTGTCATATTGATACTTCTTGGAAAACAATAATATCTGTACATAATGAAGAAAAGAAAAACTTAAGTTGATTTAAATGACAACAGTATTTTCTTTACATAGTACAAAATTAAAATAAATAAACGAAAAGAGAAATTCAAAATGATTATACCCCACGATAAAAATAATATTATTAGCACCATTTGTTTCTTTAACACTACAAGTAATTTAATGTAATTCAACAAAAACGTGCAAGGATAGTCATAAGTATCAATGCCACAGTTGAAATATAAAACAATTTATCAGATGGGATTGTTAAATTACCAAATTATTTACCTGGAATAATAATATTATTTAAGAGAATTATAACAAAGAAATAAATGGTTGGTCTGTTATTTATTAGTTATACTTATACATACAATAGAAGCTTGTCTTGTAGTTCTGCGGATAGGCGGAACAGCTGGTTGTTGAAAACCTGGTTCAGCAGCAAAGAGATCTCCAACCTGATCATTTTTTGTTTCTAAACAATTTAAATAATCAATTTAAACTATTAAGTAATTTTTCTAAACCTAAATAATACATAATTTGAATAATCAATACTCAAATTTGTACCTATAATCTATTACTTACTAGATTGTCTTTTAGATACATTTTTTTTTTCAGGCACATTCTGTGCAGATTGTAATAGCTCATTATAAACAGCATCTAGTTTTGAAGATTGTACCTACAATGAACATAAAAATATTGTACTTTTCGTTATCCTGACTAAAGCAAGACTTAATTCCTTTATATTAAGTATTAACTATACGCCGATGCTGCGACTACAAATTAAACTTGGACTAACGTCTTTAGGGCTCCGCTAAATGGAAAGTAAAAAGCATAGGGGAACCAGATACCATCAATTGGAGTTCTATCTAGCGGAGTTTTTTTGGAGACAAAACATCGAAGGAGATCCATGAGATAATATATTGAAAATTGACCTCCAAAAATAGATCTCTTTTTATTTTAACTGTGGTTATTTTTTTTTTACTATCTCTCTACTGTAACAACATGTGTATTGTGTATTAAAATACAGAACTATAAAGTCTGGCTGGTAGTCTTGGAATAGTAGTTGAGATACCAAAATTGGGACTTGAGTAATTGCAGCATCGGGCGGTAGTCAGGATAGCGGAAATGTACCAAAAATAACACAGGAGATCTATTAAAAACATGAAGAACCTAAGTTAGATTAAGGTCTCATGTTAGATTTATTACATATGATTACTCAATAACTCTTATTTAAAATATAAGTAACTAACCTGAAAACCGTTATCCATTTTCTGTGATACCATTATCCGTCATTGATGGAAACAACTTTAAAAATTTGGAATATATCCGTTTGAATCATTTTATATGGAAGACTGAAACATTTAAGATCAACTTTTAAATTACAGCCACATTAACATAGGTAATATAAATTATAGAAAAATATTTTTATCAAGAATGCACAATAAATCTGTAAATTAAAAGTCAGAATGAAATTGTATAGCCTGCGATAGATAACTGTGAAAACAGACGAAACAACCTTATAGCTCTGTGTTGTTGTCCACAATGGAATGCAATTTATGTGGTACCAAGCAGGTTTACAAAATACATACCCTTAACTAATTTAAATCACAGGGACTAGTAGAATTCATCGATTATCTATCTACAATGACAATACTAGCACAAATATTAGTTAAAAATTGATTAATTAAAAACAAAACTTAATTTGTCCAGTAATACTAAAGTGCTGCAATCCAAACGACCAACGGTCGACTGCGATTTCAAATGCATGTCAAATTTCTAAGAATACTCCACTCTGTAACAACGGACGCTTGTCATAAATAATTAAAATAAACGATAGTAAGGTAGGCCGTGTTGAAAAAAATGTTAAAGACTCAGCGCGTCCATTATTATTGCCACACATTTGTACAAGTAATTGACGTAAAAGAATCACTCAACTCAACTTATAGACAACCGGTGCGACATTTATTATATCACTTCCGAGTTCCGACTGACGAGCAAGATAATTACCAGAAATACAGCAGAGAATAAATATTAATTATAATAAACAGTAATACGTACCCCCCGACGAGCAATTGAGAGAACGGCACCGGTTTACGGTGTAGGTGAACAGATTATTGGGAATAAGGAAAAGCAGATTACACACAACCTTAAAGTATTATAAAGTATTATCTAAATAAATAAATAATATTTATTATTTAAATTTATTAAGCAATGTAGGGTTTTCCGTTAAAAATTCCGGCGCACACGGCAATGCGCAGTAACGGTCAGAGTATTCAGCAGCTTGGATTATTGGTTGAGTAAGTGGGGGGGTGACCACCGGCACCATAGCTAAACCATTTAACAGAAAAAAGAATTTATCAGTGTGTAGGGAAATTGTTGCGATACTATCGATATGAGTACAGTATCGATACTTTTTTCGATACGAGAACTTTTTGGTATCGATATTCGATACAATGTTTATAACCTAACGTCCTAACCTTTACTTGGATCATAGAGTAGTAGAGTACTTCGATCCACGATTTAAGATACAATCTGTGCTTGGATCGAAACTTAAAAGGAATGTACTCGTGTCGAATCATTTAAAACGTATCGTATATTCGCATCTATCATCCAAATTTTCCCAATCAGCATAAATCCCGCATAAATTTAAATAATATGATAATTATTATTTGTTATGAATAATCATGGGCCGTAAATGTAATAGATTGACAATATAGTATCAAAATTGAAAAATAATTATTAAAAGCATACAACAATAAACTAACTAAACTAACTTAAAACCTGACTAAAAGTTACCTTTAATAATGATAATAATATGTGGGATAGACTATATTATAATTTATAAGATGGATTTTTCCCTAATAAATGTTATATTTAACTTTATACAATGTAGTTTAAACCTATTGACTATAGGTCAAGACCAGAGAACAACTAATTAATGTACTATTCAGTGGGTTGATGAATTGACGCTGAAATGATGTGCCGAGGCCGTGTAGTTGTTCTTGCCATATGCTACCATCGACCTTATTGTATTTTATTTATTTTATTCGAATAAATGCCTGTTGTATACTAGTATACTGTATACTTTTAAGGTCTATGCCCCCAACGGCACCACAACTGCATTCCCTGCACACATATGATAAGTGATCTGTGATAACTATATCGATGACACGGACTAAGATGTAATGGGCTAGCATCCACTTCCACTATGCCAGACCATAGACATATTACATTATGTTTTTTGGAAAATACTATTTTTTCTTTTTACATACGCTCGACGTCGAGTCTGCAATACACCGAAAGACTTGCTAGACACTCTAACATGGTTTTCGACTTTCTACTTTTTACATAAGAAAAAGCACTTGACAAACCACTCTGTCCACCCCAGTAGGATTGCTAATTTTGGTTGTCTTAAACGAGCGATGACTTGCTAGAATCCTCTAACCTACAGGTTTTCGAATTTACATTTTTTTTCACCTACAAAAAAGCACCGGACACACGCCGAGGGATAGTTTCATTGAATTGCCGATTTTTATGGGCCATGGGAGATTTCTGGATACTGAAACTCGACATTCAAACTTTCCCGCCTCCGAAACGAGACCTCCCACGAACCAGGCTTTATCAGAAATTCTTATTACCAAATCACTTTCATTATAAGTGCGACTTTTATAATTTGACTGTGTCTCCAAATTCGGTACCCACCATAGAGTAAATACTCTATGGTACCCACTTACAAGTTACAACTAACAGGGGGCCGAGGGTCTACCTCGTCTAGACTGGCTAGTATATAAGACATAATATAAAGAATATTTTTTTATAATATGTCTATGACCACACCACGTCTTCATCTACATCATCCCACGGGCCACGATTATAAAGATTTCTTTATGATCCGATGAATCATGGCTAAATATATTTAGCCATGCGATGAATGATGATCGTGCATTATCCTAGCACTCGCCAATCATTGTCATTAGACATTACGTATTATCTAAGGACATTAAACTTATTACTTTTAAGGCATATGGTCGCACTGTCACCTCCTGTGCCGGGCCGTACGTGTCCGACTAGTGTGACCAACCGGGACCGTATTCAGAATCGGCCAATTAGAAACCGCCAAGTACAATACGGTAACACGAAACACGTAGTACATTGGATATACAAATACGCGATTGCGATTTACGAACAAGTGCATACGACCGCTGTATAAATACCGGCGGTTCTCGTATTTGTAATTCGTTGTTCAAAGCTCAACCCGTTCAATCCGGTGCCGAGAGATTGGTTTCCGCAACTGATTCACGAACGACTTCAGCATCGTAGGATTGGAATTTTTTCCAGTTCGTTTTTTTTTCTGTTTTGTTTTGTTTCCGTTCCACCGCGTCCAGCGACCATGAAGTTTATGCGCGGATTGATCGTGTTCTCCGGGTTCCTATTGAATTCCGTACTCGCCGACTCTGTTGTCGATCTATCAGACTCTGATTTCGACTCGTCGGTAGCCGAATATGATACGTCTTTGGTCATGTTCTATGCCCCATGGTACGTGTATATGCACCAATATAATTACGGTTGTGCTGAGCAAACTTATGATTGATTCCGATTTTCTGTTAATCTAGGTGCGGACACTGTAAGAAACTGAAACCCGAATTCGAGAAGGCGGCAAAGAGTCTGCTGAAAGAAGACCCACCTGTAACATTGGCTAAGGTAATTTTAAAATTAATATTAGATATCTGATGTGCGACTGATGTTTTGTCTGATACTCATGTTGCCGTTATTATAATATAATATTGTAGTAAGCGAGTTACTACGCAACATTTAAATTTTAAAGTCCCGACAGGTAACATATTTAACATAATATACTGTAGATAGGTAATGGCCAAATATATCAAACAGAAACTAGTTAACCTTTTTGGTTGTACTTAATCAAAGAAACCATAGAGAGTATAACGCCCAAAAACAAGCGCGTAAACAAAATTGCGATTAATAAATGTATGGCTCAAGGAGAAACGGTATTCAAAATAATACCACAGTAGATTAGCACGACTTTGCAATCATGTAGAATAAGCGGATGTGATATATGCGATAGCGTTATATGAGAGAAATTCAATATAAAAAATAGTATGGTTTATTAAAATGAAATTGACAGTCACAAATTATCTGTCAGTACGTTATAGTAATACGCAGAATAGATTAGGAATTTCACAAGTGCGTAGTTAGGTCGATGGCCACATAGACCACTTCCGTTAGAACCAAGGTACAGTATCACTAGGCAAGGGGAGCGGGGACCGGACTATAAGAGGGACCCCGAAACGGCCTGTATTCAGACGTGTCTACTCATAAATTCTACAAGCACCTTCACACGACTGTGTAACGATTGTCATTTGGACTTGGGACCATTTATGATTACTGAACATTGAATAAACAACAGTATAATTTACAATTGTGTTACATTTATTCAACTGATACCTCGTCGTCATAACAAAACGGTCTAGCTACCTGTAACGTTGATATACAAGTAGTCATCTGAACTACCAGTATATTTCAATATGAAATGATTAGCAAATTGCAAGTTGCAAAAATAATATGTATCTATGAATGTTATACAGCAACAGTTAGTTTTAGCAATTTAAAATAAAGTTATAGCTTGCATTTAAATTATATACATTTTATTGTAAAGCACACAGAGTATTCATTCTATTCGCCATGAAAGGGCAGAATGGATGAATACTCTACTTGGTATTGATCAATGGGCTCACTCATGAAAATAGTTATTTGTATGTTCAGACTACGACGGTGATAGATACCTAGTATAGTTTGCTTTGTTTTAAATTTTTCAAATATAGTTCCGTATAACTACTAAAAAAAATAAACCAAAATACTTAAATAATATTCTTCATAATAATGGTATAGGTAATATAAAAAATTAAGAGGATGCTACCCATACATTTGTTGTCTCCGTCTTACACATGCATGACATTGCAAGTTGCAGTTCACTAGTTTCGATAGTGTGCCATTAGTCTTGATACTAGAGTGAATAGCCCTATTATAAAACTTTTAGGTGATAACATTATCTGTGCTGAAGAGTTGCCGATTTTTTGAAATTTTCATTTTCAAGCAAGATATGGGTATGTGAAGTATCAAAAATTAAAAATGCTCATGTCTCGCTTGAAAATTAAAATATTGAATAAACGCTTAAGCGATAATGTTATCATCCAAAACATTTATAATAGGTCAAATCACTCTAAAATCAAAACTAACAGCTTACTATTGAAACTTGTGACTGGAAATTTACTTGTTTGATTCACTTTTTCAATGACTAACGTATTCTATTTCAACTTGAAATCTAAATTATTATAAGTTATAATCTGATAGGATTGAGATTTGAGACTCACGTGTTGTAGTTGCAACACAAGTCTTCAATCATTCTTTAATGTAACTCAATGTAATTAACATTTATTATTAGGTATTGATTTTATGTTTTGGTATACATGCATTTTTTGAAATAAAACATTTTATTAAATTGTTTGGTATTCTTATTTGGGTAACTATCATCATTCATTGGGACATTTTATCTAAGTAGAACTATCGTAGTTTTATACTTTTATAATATTATGATTTTTGGTAAAAATATAATTGTACAAATTCAACTTTTTTTATCTAGCTTTAATCATTTTGCTTGTAAGTACATTCTAATTAACCTTACTATGTATTTTAAATTGAATACAAATAATACACAAAGTTTTTGGTATACTAATATAACACTTATCTAGTATTAAAAATGATAATACCTATATTACTTAAATTGTTTAAAGGTGGATTGTACAGAAGCTGGTAAGGAAGTATGTAATAAATTTGGTGTCTCTGGATATCCAACTATAAAAATCTTCCGAAACGGTGAAGTTGCTAAAGAATACAATGGACCCCGTGATTCTGGTACATTCTATTAAAAAATTCATGTATTAAATTAATGTATATTGTAGTGAAAAATATAATATTTATTCATTGTTAGCTGGTATTGTCAAGTACATGAAATCACAAGTTGGGCCAAGTTCAAAAGACTTATCTTCAGAAGACATTATTAAGAACTTCTTATCTAAAGATGAAGTGGTGGTTGTTGGGTTCTTTGAAACAGAAACTGATCTCAAGGGCAAATTTGTTCAACTTGCCAACAAATTACGTGAAAAAGTAAACTTTGGTCATACCACTTCACAGTCAGTAATTGACAAATATAACTACAAGTAAGTTATAATTGTTACTCAGAAATACAATGAAGTACCTAGTATATCATAATTTAAAAAAAGATAATTCATTTATATTTATGAACAATATGTATTTAATAAACAATTAAATAATGCAATGAGCAAATCAGTTTGCATTCCAATAGTAACATAGCAGGACAGGAAAGGGAAAAGTGGTTTTTGGGTTATTATTTTCATAACTGAAAAGAGTTGTTTACTCTATACTCCGGCCCACGAGAGAGTATTACCGTCGCCCGACGAAAACTCGTCCGATTCCGCGCATTCCCCACTATTCGGCATGTGCCGACAACTGTTCGGTACCGGTCGGCAGTTCTCAACGCTATACGGTGTATAGCGGTCGCGGAAAAAGTGGGGGAAATGGGGCCTCGGAACGGTCTCCGCCGTCAGTCTGCATGCGCAAAACGGTAATACTCTCTCGTGGGCCGGAGTATAGTTTATTTACTGGCATTTTTATTTTGAAAGAAAATGTTGTTGATAAGAGAATTTGGTTGGTTACAGTACCCTTTAACTATAGGTGTATTTCTGTATTGCAAGTTTCTTTTATTGTTTATATGTAATTAATAAATACATTCTATTCAATGTTGTTTTGATTATATTAATTTTTTTTTATTTAGGAATAATGTTGTGCTCTATAGACCTAAGCATTTAAGTAATAAATTTGAACCAGATTTTGTTGTTTATGATGGTGAAGAATCGACTTCTGCTCTTGATTCTTGGATTACATCAAATTAGTAAGTATTAAAACTTATTAATCTATAAATAATATTACCTAAACTAAAACAATATTTTTAATTAATTATGAAATCAAAGTTGTAACTTATTCTTTTAATACATTTAGTCATGGTTTGGTTGGTTACCGCCAAAAGGAAAACATGGAAGCTTTCAAACCTCCTTATGTTGGAGTTTATTATGCTGTTGATTACGTTAAGAACCCAAAAGGAACAAACTACTGGCGTAATAGAGTATTGAAAGTTGCCAAGTCTGTAAAAGATGTTACATTAGCTATAAACAATAAAGATGATTTCCAACATGAAATTAATGAGTATGGATTAGAATTTGTATCAGATGACAAGCCTATAGTTTTGGCACGTTCACTGGACAACAAGAAGTACATAATGAAGGATGAATTCTCGTAAGTATATTTTAATAGTTAGTAGTTTACTGAAGTTTTTTTTTATTGTTATTTAATTGGAAAACTCAAACATATAAAAGGTGTATTCCAAGTTCAACTATTTAAGACTAGTTTATACCACTATAGAAAACTCATCTGTTGGCATAATTCTGAAAATTTCAACTTTTAATGACAAAAGTTAAATAATTTCAACCTAAGTTTACTTTAAACGTTTAAGAACCTCACATTTTTCTATTTTAGATTAAACATAATTGGAAAAAGCAAATGTATTTAGCATATTTGTTTCAATGGATTTTTTGATTCCTGTGTTCCTTGTGTTATACTATATAGAAAACAATATACTTATTTTAGTTTATGATACATTTAGAAATTAACTTCTATTAAATATGTTAACTTTGATTAAGTTGAGTAAAAGTAACATCACATATTTAAATTGATTTTTAGAGTTGAAAATCTAGAAAAATTCGTAAATGACTTCCAAGACGGTAACTTAGAACCATACATTAAATCAGAGTCAGTACCTGAAGATAACACTACACCAGTAAAAGTAGCTGTTGCCAAAAACTTTGATGATTTAGTTATTAACAATGGAGTTGACACATTAGTAGAATTCTATGCCCCATGGTGTGGCCATTGTAAAAGTTTAGCTCCAGTCTATGAACAAGTTGCTGAAAAGGTAGTTATGCTTTTATAATATTAACTAAATGTTCTTCATGTTACCTTTTCAAAGATTAAAATGTTTTGTATGTAGTCGTTGGTGGTTTGAGTAAAAAAAATATATATACTCAGTCTCATTAAAAAGTAACTTTGGGGGATAAGGTTCTACACACAGGGGCTATTGTCTAAAGAGTTGTGCTGATGACGTTAACCAGTTTATCGAGTTGTGTTGTCTGACCAAACTGGACAAAAATTGATGCCCTGAGTTATTTTTATATGAGGAAGAGTATAGATAGTATGCTTATATCATAATTTAATGCTGATTGGGTATTAAGTATAATATTATCTGCACAATCCCATTGCCAACTTTTTAGTTATAGTTAATCATTTTTCATTGATCTTGAAAAAGTCATCAATTATATGTACCTTTGTTGGTTAACTGTACTAAATTTATTTTAGTTAAAAGATGAAGCTGTGTCTTTGGTAAAAATGGACGCAACTGCCAATGATGTTCCTTCCACTTTCGATGTTCGTGGATTCCCAACCTTATATTGGTTGCCTAAGGATAGCAAAAATAAGCCTATTCGTTACGAGGTATTTAAAGATTGGATCTTAACTTGACAATAACATTTGATTAATATGTATTATTTATTAATGATATTAGGGAGGCCGAGACGTAAACGATTTTATCAAGTACATAGCATCTAAGGCTACAGATGAACTCAATGGATTTGATAGATCTGGAAATCCCAAAGATGGCAAAGATGAACTGTAAACTGCAAACTATCAGTTCTAAATTAAACCACAAGGCTGATTTAATTTTATTGGAATTGGACTACTCTTTTTTATTAAATACTGAGTAGAGAGGAGAAATAATTGTTGAATCAATCCAAATTCAATACAAAACTAACTACTTTAAATTATTCTTGAAATAGATTATGCAAATATACATTTTATAGAAAATTCATGCTCCATTTTCCTAATCATATCTGTTGAAGTAAAAAGTTATTGTATTTAAACATGATTATTCTGTAACTAAAATTATAATTTTAATAAATATGTTGTGATTTTCTATTTTGGTTATAATTGTTGTTTTTTTTTTTTTTTTTTTAATTTTGTATCTAATTTTTAAAAAAAAATATCAGAAATATTTTCAAATCGTCAAATGTATTTCTTAATAAATTAAGTGGCAGGCAAGAAGCTTTTATTATACTTATTATTGCCGCCTAAGACACAACATTAGAAATGTAAATAAATATTATATCTACATTAAATATGCAGTTATCTTGTAAGATACATTTAAATTGCAGGCTTTAGATGAGAGACGTCTGTATTAATGTATTATACAGAAGAGCTATTTTTGTTTATTTTGTAATTTAATATATTTTAAAATTGAGTAACTTGAGTCTGCTTTTGCACACAGAAGAAATTCCCTAGATTAGTAATGAAACAGGGATGAATAGTCAATTTTTTCTCATATACCATTATTTAACCATAGACCTAGTTAACGATTAAAAAAATAATTGTTAATTTTTTTGTACCAATGTGATGGTAAAATAAAATGCTAGCTAAAAAGTTAACATTAAACTTCTTTATAGGTTAATTTATGGTTAAATAACGGTATTTCGATCATGGTAAATGTGACTGTTACTTTTTAGTTGAAATATTTTGTGAACTGGATTTTCAATTACAAAAAACTTTATCTATTAAACCAACTATTAGTTTTGAATTAAGATATTCTTATAAAATACACACATTTTAATTAACCATGTAATATATTATAGGTTAACTGCAGCACACGTTTGGTGGCAAAATAATTATCAACGCGTTTCTTAAGAAGTTAAAAAACAAATAGTATTCTAACATAACATTTCATTAGAATTCACCACCCAACTGTTGTTTTGGCAACAGGCGATGTGACAGTAATAAGAATCAACTACAACCAATCGTTATTTTATTTTTGGTGTTACCATTCTCACTCTCGTGGGACTGTTGCAAGTGCATTGACGTTACTAATTCAAAATACCTTAATAAATGTGTTCATAATTTGAACATTAACACAATAGGTGTCTGCTATCATTCTCTTTATTAACGTAATATAATATATTATATTTGCCACTGAAATCCGGTCCAAATGTATTTACACATTTATATTTAATATTTATTAATTTAGAATAAGCTGAGAATAATGAAGAAAATTTGGGATATCAATTAATTCAAAGCATAATATTATTTTCTGCAAATTGACTGCAAAATTCACCCATTGATATTTAGCGTGCAAACAAATTTAGATCAGTTTTAGAATGTTATTGTTATTGATTGCATTCAATACATTTTTTAAATATTCTACGTATTGTAAGTTGGGGTTCTGCGGCTTCAAAAAGTGTATCAAATGTTTAATTTAAAAAAAATGATATTTTAAGTAAATCTCACATTCAAATGTACTTTGGTATATTATGTATCAATAAAATAAATAATATATATATATATTCAAACAAGGAAAATCATTTTTATAATTTGATCTATCTAATTGAACATTTGTTTTTAAAAATGTATTGAGAATTTTTAATTTTGAAGAATTTGTAATTCCTATGGTAATGCTTAAACAGTGATTAGACAAATAAAAACACAATTATACATTTTAAGCATAATTTTTGAATATTTTGAATTCCATTGGATCTTTTCAAATTGAGATTATGACGTTCTAAGACAATTTTAAGAGCTATAAGTTTACATTTTAGAGGCGAATTATTATTAGTTTTTAAATAAGAAAGAATATTAAATTTTTATGTTTTGATAATATATGATAAGTGTCAAGTGATAACTATAAATTTTAATAAAACCGAATTTGAACATGAATAAATAAGGACATGTTTTAAATTTCAATAACTAATTAGTAATTACAGTCAATAAATATAACTTTTATAGATTTATGATAACACAATTTAGGTAAATACTAAACAAAATAATTTAAGTCATTTCTAATATCAATTTTTTTACTTTTTCAATGTGCAGTCTTTTATCATCAACAGACAAAAAAACAACATTGTTGTAGTCTTTAATAATAAGTAATTAAAAAAAAATATACTAGTTAGGTTTCTATATATTAAGTGTACAATAATAATAATATAAATTTATTCACCTAATAATCAAAAAATACTAAAATATATTTTCCAACTATAGTACAAAAAATCCCACATAAAATATTTACATTTAATATATGTAGTCATAATAAATAAAATATCATCATTAATAAAGATTGCCTAGATAAAGCCTAGCATATTCACATCTTATTTATGTACAATTAGGCAATTGATGTAATATATGAAATATGGTATGTACCTTTTTTTAAATAATTAAAATTAATATAAAACTATTACAAATTAAATGAATACATATTTGATAATTGTACATATTTACATAAAAATTTACAAAAAAAAAATTTGTATGTTGTCTAAGAATGTGTACACCTAAAGACTTTAAAACCAAATCTTTCGCCTCGATTCGAAATCACAGCCTTTGAATTAAGTGAAACAAATTTATTGGAAAACTGCTGAAAAAAATCCAATTTTAAGGTAGAAGAAATTAATAAAATACAATTTAAATATACCAATCAAATAATATTAATTATTTTATTCCCTAAAGCTAATTAGACATATAATGACCACTCCAAAATTATACGAAGAACCCGTCAGTTTTTAATTTTAATTAAAATATTACAAAAATAATAATAATTAGTTATAAAAATAAAAATAATAATATTTATAATAGTATAAAATAATAATAATAGTAATAAAATCAAATTATGATTAGCCAATGGAACTAAGATAAACCTTTATTAGCTTTGATCAGACTCGTCCATACAAAAACATATTTTATATGAATTATGTAAATTGTAATGTATGGAATAACTACTAACAAATATTGCGGTAGTATTAATTTTTTTACCATATTTTAATTGATAGAGTAAAAATAATTAGTTTTGTGTCAAATATGAATTTATAGAATGACGCTACTGTTTAATGGCATTCATGTACCTAAAGATAACCTTAAGCCTATAAGGAAGCTCACATCATAATATGCTTGATTATTATATCAACAGCAATTAACAATTATTGTTAATTGTTATTAGATGCTTCTATCTAATGCAAAACATTTTTTTTTTTTTTAACACTGGATAGTCTGGCCAATAAAGCCATAGACTGAATGAATTAGGCAAAGGTGATTTAAACAGTAGCATTAAAAAAAGAAAAAAATTCTTAAATAAGATTATAACTTAAGATAGTTAAGCATTATCTTAATAAGAATTAAAATAAGATTGAATTGAGTCAATTTATGTCCCACAATAAATTCCAATACAATAAAAAAATATGTTTATTGATGAACAGTAATGTTGGGACATCAATTACACACAATTATTATAAAGGCTTGCCCGTGTAAGGCGCTGGATATAGTGGATATCCAAGACCTACATGTGTATGATGATGTGTATGTACATGCCTTTGAGGAGGTGGTGAACGGCAGTCTTTTGGATCACCAGTTGACCCCGATTTACCAGAAGATTGGGTAGACGAAGGAGGACCAGTAGACGTAGTTCGTTCAGTGGCAGATGGTACTATGCCAGTTGACGTTAAAGATGGAGATTGCCTTGTTCCTGGTGACGGAGCTGGCGTTAGACCCGGTTGTGCATTCGGTTTTGGTGTAGGCGACTTAATGGCACGTTCTTGTAATTCATGTATCTTATGTGAAGAGTAATATTGACTAGCATGATGTTGTAGGAGATCAAGAGCCGCCTTAGGCCCAGGTGGTGGTTGGGAAGGAGTTGAAGACTGTGTAGAAACAGCTGGTCGTGAGAGATCTTCAGGTGCATGATACCGTTGCATTTGAGCATGTAGCTGAGGATGTAAATAAGGGGGTGGTGGTGTATTGCCATAAGGTCCAGGCACCAACATAGGATTCATTGCACTCCTGTACATGGGATCAAATGCCAAAGCGCCAGCAAAATGGGGTGACTGCATAAAACCCGGATGTATATATGCATATGAAGACGTAGGAGGTGGAGGTGGTCCTTGTGTTTCCATTGTAGGTTTAACTCCTTCTGACATATGAGAAGAACTTTTACACATTTTATCATCTTTCTTGTCTTCGTGTTTTTCTTTATGCTTGTGTATTGAGTTAGTACCCATAGAATGCTTAGTTGGTGTACTTTGTGTATTCGATTTCGTATGTGAATGATCACCAGAACCATGATCCTTCCGTCTCTGATCTGGATATACATAATAACGTCTTACATCATCTTGCTGCTGTTGTTGTTGCTGTTGTTGCTGCTGCTGTTGTTGCTGCTGCTGCTGCTGCTGCTGTTGTTGCTGCTGATGCTGTTGTTGTTGTTGCTGTTGTTGTTGTTGCTGTTGTTGTTGTTGCTGCTGTTGCTGCTGCTGTTGCCGTGAAAACATATAAGCTGAATTCATTTGTGACTTCATTTCAATGCTTTCTTTCATAATTTGATGATTTTCGTTTTGATGGGAAGGTTTTTCTTTGGGTATTATTTGTTCAGTTTTTATTTTATTAGGCTGAGGAACACTCAAAGTACCAGGCATTGAAGGTTGATGATTTTTATCATCAGGCTTCATTTCTTTATCTTGTACCATAGACATTGGATATCCTGCTCCGATATTATAAGGATAATTTTGAACATAGGAATCATAATTAAAATACTGTTGCAAAAGCTTTTGTTGCTGATATTCAGCCGCTTGATTTGATTGTAAATCTTTCTTATTATCTTTATCTCCAGTTGAAGACGACATTTTTAAATCTTGTGAATGTTGGTTAATTTTTTCACCTTCTTTAATTTGTTTAGATGTGTCATTCGGTTGAACAGAGGAAATCAAATAAGGCGGTTGACCATAATATGCCGGGTACATATGGTTATATGGTTGGATAGGATGAGGAGAATGTGCTGTATTTGGTTCTGACTTTTTATCAGTAGTAGACAATTTTTGTTTATTCATACTATCATTCATCTCAACTTCAAGAATTGGTGCAGTATCATCTGAGATATCAGAATATGCAGGACTTTGTACATCATCGCGGCTACAGTTTGAGCTATCAAACTGTGGTTGATCAATGGAAAATGGTCTGGGACTACTAGCTGGTGATTTACGGTTTTTCTTTTTATGAGATGATGTTGCAACTTTATTTTTAATATCTTTATTGACTTTCATATTATCTTCAGCGGGCATTAAAGCAGATGCTGGCTTTACTTTGAATTGTGGTACTTTTTGAACTTGTGGCTGATTTAATGCTAAAGGTTGAATTTGTGGAGGTGTAGGTAACTGTTGTGATGCTGGACTTTGTACATGTAAAATTGGTGGTTGGGGTTGTGGTGACTGAGAAGTAGGAGCAATTGCTTGTAAAGGAGTTGCTGGCTGTAGCAGTGGTGGTGGAGTAGGAGCTGGCTGAACAACAGGAACTGATAGAACTGTTTTAGGCGCAGTCAATGTAGGGGTAACAACATTAGTCTCTTCATTTCCAGAGAGGCCAAACCGTAAAACACTAGGTTTTGTAACTAAAAGAGGAGGAGACTGTATTGGAGCTGGAGGATCCACTTCAGTTACTGGAGGAGTTGTGGAAAGTTGTGGTTGTTCAATTGGTTGACTAATGACAATAGGCTGATCTTCTTTTAGATTATCTTGAATACCAGAATTACTCACAGAAACAGGACTAGTATCATCTTCGTTTTCAGAAGTACTTGCACCACCAGATTCTTTAGTGTCAGCATCTTCATCGTCCAAAGCAGCACCATGTGCATGAGATTGATGATATCTTAATCCATTTGCATTTTTATACTTTTTAGAACAATTTGGTTCAGGGCAATCTAACATAGTAGGTGACATAGGTGGTGGACTTGCTGGCTCTGCTTTTATTTTCTTCCCTGAAGCTTCATCTTCAGAACCAGGAGGCTTCTTCCTCTTATTAGAGCTGTTAGAATCTGAACGTGGTGGTACAAACGAAGACGGTGTTGGTGATGATGTACCTCTTCTACTTGAATTATTACTGCTATTACATTTATTTGTACCATTACTTCGAAGTTTACTATGAACTGAAGATCTGGTTTCAGTAAAATTTACCAAATCGTTACTGGGGCTAGCGGTTAAACTAGCACGGCCCCTTTTTCCACGTCCTTTTTGAGGTAAACGACATTCTGGTTCTCCAGCAGATGCTTCAGAAAACCTAAAATAAATTATAATAAACATTTAGTATTATTAATTTAACAAAGATAAAAAGTATGATCAAAACAATTTTTTTAATTACCTAGGTGGAGCCCAATCATGTCTAGTACAGTCTAATAATGTGCCTATATAAGTTTTTCCTCTCCATGTTACATTAACAACAAGCACACCTATAATTATTGAATAATGAAACATATTTATGCATATTTTATTTTAGAATAGGAACTAAAAGAAAATAAGTATCTATAGAAAACTATTAATGTACATTTCTTTTATTTTTCTATTTACCTTCAATTTCGTTCCATACAATTCCCTCTAAATTAACATGTGTTCCAGGTTCACATGGCCCAAAGCAATCTGGTTCTGTAACAGTTCCAACACTGATGCTAGTACCAACACAGGCATCAGCTGTTTCCTGAAAATATATAACAAGTAATACATATTATAAAATTATATTTTAATTCAAATATATAATTTGTTTGTTTGAATATCAAACAATATTTTGTATGTTAACTTAGACAAATATAAATTGTTGAATAGAATAAAAATTTGTGAAACATTATAGTTAATATTGATTGGGATAAAGTTAGTTTAACTTACAATTTTAATTATTTAATTATTTTCATACATTGATAACTATGGTTAACAAATTTATAAATATTTTTTCCTATACGAATACTCAAGATAGCAAAATTTATAATATATAAGTATATAAGTATATTATATATATTTATATACCTTTTGCTCTGTTAGGGAAGCAGAAGTTGAACTATTAGCAGTCTTTACTTTGTTGGTTGGGGGTGGTGAGGTAGATTGCAGAGGTTTTGATAAGGTAGACAATGCTGCAGAAGACTTTGTAGTAGTTTGGGTATTTTCCATTGGAACTACTGGGGGTGATACAATTTGTTCCGGACCATTGGCCACACTTGAAGAAGTTGAAGTTCCTGCTTCTCCAACCGGTGGTCCAGGACCGGGTACATTAGGTGACTGTGTATTGCTTGATAAAGCTGGGAAAGTGCTGGTTCTAGGAGCTGATTGACTAACAGGACCTCGACCATTAAGTTCAGAAGACAAACTAGAATTTACTTTATGACACTTATCACCACTTGTAGATGAACTATGTTGTTTGTCTTTTGTTTTATCTCTACGATGACTGCTAGATCCACGTTTTACTGAACTTACAGTGGAAGTAGTACTGGTTGTAGGAGTAGTACAATTAGTACTAGATGTACTGGAATGTTTACCTTAACAAAAATATAATTCCATATTGTATTTATTATTCTTTAACTAATTAAAAATAATTAAGTTAAAAAATATATAGGTATACCAGTTTGTTTGGACTCAGCGGAAGATCCAGATGAATCGTTTGAAGAGGCACTGCCACTTGACTGAGATTGGGTGGAAGCTAAAGATCCATTTTGTTCGCCAGGCTTGACGATTTCATGTTTAGCTTCAAAGCTTTTAGTCCCCGTTTTTGTTCGTTTGATTTTCATTTTTAATCCTTTATCAACAGTAGCTGAATGCTCAACAGTAGCTTTATTGCTGCCAGCTGTAGTGGCTGTGGGTGCAGTGGCAGCTGCTCCTGACATGGCTCCACTACCAGCCGTTAAACCGACTGTTGTAGCCGCACTATTGGTAACACCAAGGGCTTCACTAGTTGCAGTTGTAGATGTTGATCCTGTTTTTTCAATATCTGCGTCTAAGTCGATAATTAAATCGCCTATACCAATATCCCATTCATTGTCGTCATACTCAAAATTTGCATTACTGCTGGTATTGTTGTTGTTGCCATTGCCACTTCCAACACTATCTGTGGACGCCGCCACCGCCCCACCCAGCTCTTCTCTCATTGGGGCCGCCATCCGTGCCCAGGACCGCGAGCCCCGACCACTAACACCATTTTATCCTTTCCTAGAATCATAACATTAAAATTAGACAATCTGAGAATATATTACATTTAATTATCTTTATTTATTTCAATCATACAAATTAGGTAGGTACATTTAAGAGATCTCCCCTAAATATATAAAATAAACAATATCTTTTTACATAAGTAGATGATCGATAATTGTCATTAAAAATTATCTATGTACTAGGAATACTAGAAGTATTTAGGAGTTATTAATAAGTTCAATTTTTACAGGAATATATCCAAGTTTAGGTTTTAGGTTTTTAGATATTTTGGGTTATAGTTACACAATATGTACAAGGCCCCCTAAGAGAAGGGGGATGGAGCTGAACCCCTGCATCAGATGATATACGTTATATGAACACTCAATTATTTAAATCACAGATTAAGAACCTATGGTAGCCGGTAGGGATAAATCATGTTTAGCTGGCACCTTCCCCCCGTCCCACCTCTGGGTTTAAAAATATAGTTTAACAAGTTAAAGAAATATTAAGATATAGTTACATTAAGAGGACGTCTCACCCGGATGTGTTGTCTCCGTCGTACACACATACGACATAGCAAATGTTCGTTGGCTAGTTTCAATAGGATATTGTCAGTTTTTATATTAGAGTGAATTGACCTATTATCAAACTTTTAGGTAAGAACAGTATCTGTGTTCTCTCGTTGGTTTTTTACGATATTTTAATTTTTAAGTGAGTTATGAACATTTTAGAATATGAATACTTTACATACCCATAACTCACTTAAAAATTAAAATATCGTAAAAAACCAACGAGAGAACACAAATAATGTTGTTACCTAAAAGTTTGATAATAGGTTGATTCACTCTAATATCAAAACTGACAATACCCTATTGAAACTAGCAAACGAAAATTTGCTATGTCGTACGTGTGTAAGACGGAGACAACACATCCGGGTGAGACGTCTTCTTAAGGCATATTCAATCATTTGAATCTAGGTCTGCTAGTTGTAACTATTATCTCCTTAAACCTATTTCAAAAAATTAATAGCTACCTATATTATGTAGGAACAAAAAGCAATAGTACATTCTATAAGGTATATTAAAAGTCAAAATATATTGTTTTTAAAAATTGAATAGAATTAATATTAAAAACCTTATTAAAATAGCAAAATTATTTTAAATAATAAAAAAATATTATCATGAACTAATTTCAAGTTAATTATTAATTACTAGCATATTATACCTAAATGGGTATGTTAATAACTTGTAGTATATAACTAGCTACTACCTACCATTGAGTATAGTCTTATAGAAAATAGATATACATCAATACCCGCTTGTACAATGGCCAAGCAACCTATGTTCTAATTTATAGAAATTAGTAATTAGTACTAATTACACTTACTATTTAAATATTTTTTATCCTTCTAATTTTTTAATTTTTTTAATGACAACAGAGTTTTAATTTCATATTCCAAAGCAGAATATTTTTCTATATATTTTGATACATAAAAATTCAATTAAGTGCGAGTAGTTTAAGAGTTAAATACTTAAAGTTTATATGAGTCTAATGCAGTTGTAAGGCTACCCTGCTCATCTAAACTTTAAATATTTATATCTCATAAACATTAATCTAATAGCCCTAAAGTCGATTTTCCATGAATAATTTATAATAATAAATAAATATTAATGTTAATTGACAATTGTTAATAATATATAATATATATAATATTATTATATTTTGAATGTTTTTGAATTGTTTTATTAGATTATATTTGGTTAAAATTTTAAATCAATATTGATGAATTTTGTATGTGTCAAATAATGAAAACTGATTGTTTACATTTTTCAGTCACCAACAAAAGATCACTTAAAAGTTTGTAGTGAAAATGTCTATAATTTTTTTCTTGTATGACCGTCACAGGGGGGTGGGTGATCAGATTGAATTTAGCCACACCTGATGCAGAGGTCCCTATGACCTACCTATTTAATTGATTAAGGTACTCAATACATTTTTTAAAACTTATTTATGTCAATGATTAGTTGCTAGGTCCATTGTAATTTTACAATAAACATTTAACACTTTTAAAAATAAATAATAATATACAATTTAATAGATAGGTATTGAAGTATTGTATTAATATTCAAAATAAAGGTAGGTACAGATATGTAGAGAACACTCTATTTTTAATATAGATATGAATCCATTCATAATAATTTGTATTATAAAGTTTTTAATTAGGTAATAAGCACCTACCTAACTTATTTTTTTTTTGGAAAATGTTCTACTTAAGACCTAGTATTTTACTTTAATACCAAAAAGTTGGTGTTAAATATTTTATTAAAATATTACAATAACAAAAATTGTTTTGACAAATAACATTAATAATAATGATAATTTGAACTATCTCTCATTTTTGATTTTCAATCTCCATTTGCGACAAAAATGATGTTAAGTCAAAATGACTTTGAAAAAATAAGCCTATTTTAATAGGTACATTAATTATAACAGGTTCCTATTTGGAAAAACCCAAAATTCACTAAATAGTGCATAATATGTGGGATGAAAATGTTCCTATCAATGAGTCATTAGGAAGGTAGAAACCCTCAAGTCTTAATTCCTGATTCAAATCAATATGATTTTGCCCAACTGTCAAGTAATTAAGTGTTCCCTAGATCTAGATCCACTTATCAGTTGTGTTCTTGTATTTTAACTAGTAATTAGTAAATAAAATAGTTGAAATTTTCCATAGAAAGTTAATATCTATTAATTTTAAAACCATTCTAATGACTTCATACAAACATATTAATAAGCTACCTAATGATAATACATAATATCGTGCATAAAATGTAAGAAAAAAATAAACAACTAAATTAAAAATCACCACTAAATACCCAACGTTCGAACCTAGTCCCTGGTTAGGGCAGAATTATTTTTTTTATCGGAAGTAGATATTCTTAAAATACACCTGGTACTTACAAAAATGTCATAATACAAATACTAGTTAAGTACTTAACTGAATTGTATTTGAATCGATATTAAAAGTACCTACCAAATACACAATATTTTTAAGTCATCAAAACAACAAATTAATTTTCAAATGAATTTGATCACTTCATATTGTTAAAATGTATGTAAGTCTTGTTATTTAGCTTTAGCCTTTTCTTTAATCACATCTAATCCACCTACTCACCTAATTAATATTCAATTGATAAAAAACTACCTAGGTATTTCGTTCACTAATACACATTCCACAATCAGTGCCAGGTAGAAAATGTCACAGTGTCGAATGGAAACCGGACCGTAGCCAAACCTTAGAGGTACTTCACCTACAATATAGGTAGTTCTGATATTTCAAATTTTTTCAAGTATCTGATACAACTGTCCGGGGAGGCATTTCAATAAACCACGGCTGGGTTGGGAAAGCATACTCTACAGTCTACACAGTAGACACTGGTGGCTTTCAACCAGTATCCGGACAGGATTGGAAGGCCAGCCATCCAACCAAGGGGGAAGACGAACCCGGGGTCCCCCTCACGGTGGTTCGACACCGTGGCCGGCGGCTGCGGCGGGGGGCACGCAAAAAGTTTCGTGACGGTACATGGTGGCCGCCGACGTCGGATCGGCCACGGAAGGCTGAAAGTGCATCTCAGCCGTGTGCGCGCGCCGCGGCCGTCGGCCACACGCGTACACACACGCGCACACGACACGCGCAACCACGGTGTAGTACTCACTAAAAGTTATGTAATCCCGACGTAGAGGATTGCGCTTCCGGTGTGGTACATCAAGATCGTGTCGGCGCCCGAGTAGGATTCGCGAGGTGTCGCTCTCGTTGAGCTTGGCGACCTGATGAGCTGTCGTCGACGGGCAAACAAAATGGCTGATACGCTGCTCAGTCGGACGACGGCCGTGAAACCGCTGAGCGGCCGCGGGACATTTTACGAGCACTGTCTGTCGGGCCACACGGTGGCGGCGGTCGTCGTCGGTGCGGTGCGGTGGTTACGCGACACTCGCGGTTCGGACCGGAACAACGGAGACGGACGGCGGAACAAATGCGGTCGGTTAATCGAACTTCGCCAACATACGCCCGGCCTGACAGAAAAAAATAAACGATAGCTGCTGCTAAACGGTAAACAACACCCTTCGGTGATATGTTTTTTTTTTTATTTCACATTTTCCAGTCCGTACACCTTGGACGTGCTTTGGACACGTTCTTTGTTTGTATTAACGCCCGGTTCGCTGCTACACCGGTAGAGCGCGCGCGACGCGTTGAACGAGTTCGTTCCCCGCGTGTTTCGACGGGTTAAACGGGGCGAGCGGTACGCGGGGTTTAGAGGCCTACGGTGCGGTGTCTGCGGGCGGCCGCGTTCGGGTCGTCGAGCGTGTTTGTCGGTGGATGGATGGGGAGGGGGTGCTCGTCATTCCGTGTCGTCGTCGTCGTCAGCCCACCCGCCGGCCAAAGTGGTCACGGTCCGCGAACACCCGCCGGCCTATGACTACACGACGAGTGACGACGGTGTCGGCGTGTCGCGTATAATATGATATAGATACACATAACAACAACAATAATAGCAACAACAACATTAGTAGTAGTAGTAGTAGAAGTAGTAGTATGTAGTAGTAGTAGTGGTGGCGGTAGTAGACAGTTATAGTAGGTAGTAGTAGTAATGTGGTAGTAATAATAATATTACGCGGGATAATATTTCGGTATAGCCGTATATAGTAGGTATGCAATCAACAATTATTTTTCTCACGAGTATAACACGACAACACGATATACGTACATCCAACGTCATAATATTTACAATAGATAATCGTGTCAGATAATTTTATTACATAAAACTGAGACACTATTAATTGATGTAACCTACTTATTGTATGAATATAATGTTCAAATATTAATTCGTCGGGCGTTAAATTGTTCTGAGAACGGAAAAAATAAAAAAAACACTGCTTATTATTATAGCTTTACCTAAATCGGTAGACG